ACTTGGAACAACATATATACTCCGACATTACCTTAACAGTTCCTAGGTCCTTGGTTTGAGCTGTTGAGCTACCAACCAGCCCCAAAGGCTGTGAATCTAACCAAAAATTAATCACATGATGATGATGATGATGATGATGATGATGATGATGATGATGATGATGATGATGATGATGATAAAAAGCCAGAGCAGAGTTCTCTTATTTCAGTGCCAAAATGGGTTCTGATGCGCGTTGGTGCTGATGTTGACATTTCCAATCGAACCCCAATTTAGGTTTTAGGGGTTTAAGATCGAGCCTCTCTTTAATGTCAAGGTAGCTAATAAAGGGTTATTATTCTCCAAAGCATCAGAGGGCAGGACAAGAAACAATGGTTGGAAACTAATCAAAGAGAAAAGCAACCTGGAATTAAGGAAAAACTTGCTAATAGTAAGGACAATTAACCAGTGGAACAGCTTGCCTTCAGAAACAGTGGGTGATCTATCACCTGAGGTTTTTAAAGAGTCTAGACCAGTCACTTATCTGAAATGGTATAGGTTGAGCAAGGGGCTGGACTAGAAGACCTCAAAGGTCCCTTCCAGCTCATTCTATTCTATCCTCTTACTTGCCCCTCATAAGATAGCTGGCCTGCCTGCTTTAGTTGCTTGGTCTCTTCTACTTAATCTCTGAATTCATTAGGGATAGGTCATCCTGGAGAAAACCTAGGGGGTCGCCTGGAGTCAAAAATGACTTGAGTGTCCCACAATCAATTAATCAGATAGCTTTTTCACAATGTGATTTGAAGGTGCCCCGGAACACCTTTCTGAGATTGCCAGTTGTATAGGCTGAACATGGGAAGAGTTTATTTTTCTTACCATTTTTTCATTTGTCTGACATTCTACAATATATAGAAGCAAGTGTTAGGGTAATGTGCCTCTGTAAATAGCAGGTATGCATTTTTGGAAAGCTACTTGAAGAAGGGAATCTATCAGTTAAGCTAAGAGTTCCAGTTCTGACTCTCATACTGTTCTCTGCTTTATATCTGCTCCATAGCATCCCCCTTTTATAGTCCTCTAGTCAGCTTAATCATAAGTTTCATTTCACATCTCATTTTCTAATAATGCAGGTGTTTCTCACCTTGGGAAAGCCTCTCATCCCTATTACTGAGTGACAGTTAGTGAAAGAAAGACTGCTGATGTTCCATCAAGCAAGCACTGTATGGTTTCAGGCACAAAGCAATCAGGGCATCAGCATCTATGCATCAGACGCACCTGTTCTTCATTTGGAGATCAACATGGAAGTTGTACTGTACTCCTCAACAGTGCTATGCAGATTTTATCAGTCTGCAGAACAAACCTTTGCAGTTGTGCATCTGTGGAAATATCTTTGCAGTTTATACAACTCGGTTGTTTTTGCAGACCACCTCCATAGATCTCTCACCACCATCATTCTCCAAATATTTCTTATAATCCTCACCAAGGCAGCGATAATAAATCATATGATGCTTATAATATTGTTTGTTCTGATATCGTATTGGTATCCTCTTCTATGACTTTATCCTGTAATGGCCAGTGCTTGTAGTCATTCTACCAGGCTCTGATTTCACATATGCTCTACTTCATTTTTTTCAATCTCCTGTTGTGTTAGTCTTCATTATCTTGGGTAATTGTGTACGATAGAAATTATAGTCCAATCTGTCTAGAGCAGGGATATCAGACTCAATTTCATTGAGGGCTGCATCAGGGTTGTGTTTGACCTCAGGGGTGGCAGTGGCAAAGGTGGGTGTGGTCAGCTCAATGTCACTCGTGTTGGAGGTGCCTGTGGTGACCCAAGCACTCTGCCAGCGAAAACAGGCTCCTGAGCTCTGTTTTCAGCTGCGATGGCCTCCTGCAACCTTCTGCCAGTGAAAATAAAGGGCCTTCCCAATCTCTGTTTTCACTGGCAGAGGCACTGCGGGCCAGTCCTTTGCTGTTTCCAGGCCAGCCCTGCGGGCCAGATCTAAGCACCCTGCGGGCTGGATCTGGCCCCTGGGCCTTGGGTTTGACACCCCTGGTCTAGAGTGTTCTAGACTTTGAAGGTTGCCTAACAACATATGCACTAGCTGCTGCTTCTAAGTTCACCACCGAGCCCTCCTAAAATCTTTTCTGCGGGGCTTTTGTGTTAATTTCTGAATTGTTCTTCCCAGCTGTAATTAATTCTTATGCACTGTAGCATCATTGTATTTTAGATTAAAAGCTTTTTGGAGTAGAGATTGCCATTAATCATGAAATTATTGTGGATGTCTTGAACCATCAACTCTTCCTGTTTCAAACATTTAGACTGCCATTACCAAATCTTATCAGCTACATTCAACTACTGGAATTATTTGATACAAATAAATCTGTAATGTGGGTGAAAGAAACCCAGGGGTGTGGAAAACAGTTCAGAAAATCAGATGGACTTTCTGATGAATGCTAAATTGAAGTACTGAACAGGCATATTCCATCCTCATTATTTCCTTGTTGCATCTCTTTTGCAATATGTGATATTTAGGTGAAAGAAAGATATCTCTAAACTAAGAAACAAAGTACAGCCATGTTGCCAAAAGAGAAGATTATAATAATAAAAAAACTTGTCTGCTTTCAGTATCCTAGTCTCACCTGATGTAATCTAAAACTTCTATCCAATTTTAAATACTGAACTGGGAAAAACCTCCAATCTTATTTTCTTTTATGGTAACTACAGTCTGTGGCATTTACAGCTTTTTAATATTCCACCTTCCCAAGTTCTCTACATGTTTTTAAAATCTGTGGGAAAATGTATATATCTCCTACTAGGTAAATCTTTTTTGTTTGCAAGTTGTAGAGTAAGCAACATGTGGCCTTCCAGATATTAAAATGCAAATTCCAGCATCACGTATTATCAACAATGCTAGCTGGGGCTAATGGGAATTGCCTTGTTTAACACTCATGCATTTATATTTTGATATCACCAAGTATCTATTCCCAGGTTTAATACAAGTCACTAAGAGGAGAAATCCTTATCCCAGATTGCATAAATAAATTATACGTATATTGCGGTTATTGGGATCTGAATTTGATTGAATGGATAGTTGGAATGAAATCTCCCAGGCCAGTTAGGGTAGAGGGATTAACGGTGATAGTGGTAATAGAATTAAGGAAGGGATTTCAGATTGTAATGGGCAGAGGGAAATATGATGGGAGACATGGGGTAGGCTACACTTCTGACTTGCCAGCTGGAATATAAGAGTGATGATGGTCTTTAACCAGGATGACAACTGAGCTGTCTGTTTTAGACCACAGTTTTAAAGAAGTTCATTTATTTGAGGAGTTCTATGAAATGCCTAGAATGTTGCTAGTGGAAAGCAAAGACAGATGTATCAGATGCTTCAACTTACAGCTTTGCAATCAGAGCAGCAAAAAGGCAATATATTCAGACTGCTATTACATCTTCAAATTGTCATCCATCCATTATAAATATTCATGGATTCTATTAGGGAATTGAAGAGATCTTATGGGGCTTCACCAAGCAAATCAATAAAAAATTCCTCTGCTTGGCATTGGACACTAGATCTAGTTCTAGTGATAATAGGTTAGTGCTGTTAAGGGGCTTAATGCTACATATTGCATTATTATCTCAGAAAGTTTGAATGTGTTGGTCCTGAAAAAGCAGACAGGGTTCTTTCTGATTTATTTATTTGAGTTGTGTAGCTGCTCACCCCATCTTTCTGATGGTAGGTGGCTTACAATAAAGCAAATAATGTCCTGAACATAAAAACACATTGCAGCAAACATCTCAAAATGGACATCAACAAAGCCATAGGCTTCATCACACACCCACAGCACCAGGTCCAGGCATAAAACCAAGTTTTTAGGTACTTATGAAAAGCCAGATAAAAAGAGGCTGGGAATGGGGATTGGTTAATACTTCCTTGAATGAAAGTAAGTTGCCAGTAACCCTGAAGACAGTTCCCTCTATTCCAAAATGTATCTTAATCCAGCAATGTTACATAATTATAATTTGATCTCCAAACTTCCCTTTTTATGTAAGGCTGCTGAAAAGTTGATGGATCTGCAGAGCACTTTAGGAAATGAATTATGAATGGTACTGCAACTACATCGATTGCTCTTGTGGATGACCTGTGGTAAGGCCAGAACACTACTAGCATAGTTTGTCTTGCTAGGCATTTCATCCACTTTTGTCACTATTGTTTATGATATCCTGAATCTCTTCTGAGCCCAAGTTTGATTTGTAGTGTCTCTCTTTCCCAAGGGAGAAGTTTGATGCAGTGGTAGTGGTAGGGGAGGGCTAGTAGAGTTTTGTGGGTCCTGCTAGTCAACATTTCTGGCCCTCTCTTTTAACAACCANTAATCTTGTGTGCTTCTGACTCTCAATCACTCTGAGAATCAAGGACTAGAGTAGTGATCCTAATATGGCATTCCCTAAAATATTGCTGAGCTGTGGTGATACAGTGGTTAAAATGCAGTATTGCAGACTAACTCTGCCCACTGCCAGGAGTTCAACCCTGACCCGCTCAAGGGTGACTCAGCTTTCCATCTTTCTGAGGTCAGTAAAATGAGGGCCCAGATTATTGAGGACAAGATGCTAAAATGCTCAGAGAATGCTGTAAGGCATTATGAAGTGGTATATAAATCTAAGTGCTATTGCTACAATTACCAGCAAAGTGGCCAAAGACCATGTTGGCTGGAAAATTATAGTTTTTGGAAGATGCCACATGGGGAAAGCTTGGCTAAAAAGTAATTCTGGTGTGTTTCATATAGCTGAATTGTTTTGTTCAGTGAGAAATGAGAAATGACGCTCCCAAGAAACACCTAAAGATCAAAGCATATAATTCAGTAGAAATGCATTTGCTGTATTGCTGTAATACTAAATATATTTAGAAACAATTCAATCCTCCTGATGCAAATGAAATGTGTTTAAGAATGTCTTATTTAATAGTGCAATGCTCTATGTGTTTAGCCTGATTCATAAATCTAGTCACTGCAGTCCAGTGCTGTCTTATAAAGAGAAAAGGAATTTTGAGTAATTTTTGTCCAGTCCTCCTTCATTCCAGCATCCAATCCAATGTTTCCTTTGAATAAATTCCTGGTTGGAAAGTAATTGGCTGATTGGAAAGCAACATAGATCTGTTCTACCATTCTAAGTGATGATTATCACACTGTGGTAGCCTGTCCCAAGAAAAGCTCCTTTATACATTGTGGCAGAAAGACAAGATCTCAATTCTTTCAAGAGAGAGAAATATGATTAGAATTCTAAATGAGACGTTTTAATCTTTTTCTTTTCATTTCCAGTTTCATTGTGTGGAAGACTTGCAAACTGTCCATGTGATCAAAATCTTAAAATATGAGAAAAAAGTGGCTAAAATGTGTTTTATAATGATAACCACGTTTCTTATTTGCTGGATGCCGTATGCTGTGGTTTCACTTTTAATAGCCTATGGTTATGCTCACCTTATAACTCCAACAGTGGCTATTATCCCGTCTTTCTTTGCCAAATCAAACACTGCCTACAACCCAGTTATCTTTATTTTCATGAATAGAAAGGTAAGTCCCTTAAAGAAACCTAATAATGGTAAATCACACTCAGTTCATTTTTCTCAACTTCTCAAATGTTAGAAGAAATTAATACTTCATTTTCACAAACACATGTTCTGCTCTGATAGTTGAAGTATATAAACAACAGGATTAGCTTTTCTTCTGATACAAAATCAAGAGACTCTTTATGGGAAGGCGGAAGTAACAAGGCAAAATTCCTAGTAGGAAATCTCCCCCAGTCCCAAACTGGTATTGAAGGTTTGACTCTTACTTGCTTAACCTTCTCCATAAGTTGCTATCCATCTACAACTCCTAAGCCATAAGTCAATAGACATATTAGTGGGGATGATCCAAATTGTAATCCATCATATCTTAAGTAGAAGCTGGGCTAGTAGAAGCTCCAAGTTGCTGTTCCTCAATGCAGGGCATTGAACTCTAAAAAGGAGAAAAAAATGTCAAGATATTCCTGGAAAATCTTGACTCCACAGCTCCACATGATTCCACAGCTATCAGGGTTACTTTGGTTTCTGTTGTCAGAAGTTCATTTCCTGTCATAGTTCATTTCCAAAGGTTTGTAACTCCCTGTCAGTTATTCCAAAGGGAAAATCTTAGCTAATTTGAGTTTGGCTGAGGAATTAATGGTAGATCCCAGGAAGGAAACAGCCAGGGTGTGGAAGCAATGAATCTTTTCAATTTCTGGTTTAAGCAGAAGGACATAGGTTATTGTTGACAATGCAGTGTTGGCATAGCAAATTTAGCAATTCTTTAATGGTTTTGTTGTAATGTCCACATCTCTAGATGAAATAAAAAACAAGCCCTGGAGGTATATCACTTTCTTCTTTGCAGCAACATGTGTGTGTGTGTGTGTGTGTGTGTGTGTGTGTGTGTGTGTGGTGTATATATGTATATATATACACACACACATATACAAATACATATACATGTATGTGTATATGTTTATATATGTATGTATGTATGTATGTATGTATACATACATACATACATACATTCATTTGAAAGCTGCCAAAAACAATCAAAGGAGTCACAAAATAGGACATTCAGGGCAATAAATGTAGAAATGTAAAAAGCTTTTTTACACCATGTCAGATAACTCTACGTAGGTAAAGCACTGCTTATATTAAAATAAAGTCTTTCCAAGCTTTCCTTGGAAATGCCAATAGCATTTCAGCTTTCTTTTTTTTATTGTTCTGTTCACATTTTATGAATCAGATCACCCTTCATTTTTACTGCAAATACTTGTAGAATTGGGTGAACATTACATAATGTCTGAGAGGGTCATTCATCAGCTAAAAAGCCAGCATTTGTAAGGTTAATCCATAATGGAACAAATAAAGTTTGTTGTACATAGAGATGTCTAGTTTTCTTTAAATGCTAGTAGAAATCTGACTGATCAGCCTTCATCTGATTGGATATCAAACATGTTTTTGTATTTAGCAAAAGTCATGGCTGATTTTATGTCATCCTCATGTTATCCTGTTTCTGAAATATATTACATTCATGCCGTCTGAATATTAGATTTTCAGTGCAGTTTTCTTTCCTTGCAGTTTCGACAGTGTCTTACGCAGCTTCTCTGTGTTCACCTCTTGAGGTTTCAGAGGATTTTGAAAGAAAAGCCAGCAATCAGGAATGAAAAGCCAGTAAGGCCCATTGTTGTGTCACAGAAGGTGAGGGACAGGCCCAAGAAGAAAGTGACATTCAGCTCTTCCTCAGTCATTTTCATTATCACCAATGATGAAACGCAACAGATAGATGACAGTTCCAAAGACATAGGCACAAAAGGAAACATGATCCAAGTGAAGCCTTTATAGCAGATTGGCCAGAAATTTTTCTAAGTTGGCATCTGCTAACAAAACTGTGAGTGGCACAATTTGCAAGATAGTACAATCTTATATGAAATACTTTTTCTGTCTGCATTCCTATGATAATTTGCCAAGAAGGGGAGCAATACAAACCTTAATGCAGTATTCTTCAGCATAATTATAATGAATTGTACTATCGGTGACTCAAAGCTCTGTTGTTACCACCTGAGATTGTGACAGACACCTGAAAGATGGATTTTTAAACCTATTATTTTCTTTATTGTCTCAATTAACTTTCACCTCCCTATAAGGAATACACCATTGTGACTTTGGTAGGCTGGTTTATGACTCACGTAGATGCAGGAACATGCACAAAGTAGAGGAAACTGATTGCTATAGATTGTTAAATTGTTAAAATCCATCAGCATGAGGTAAGAAATGTGAAGCACTTGAGCAGTATTTTCTTAATTACACTTGTGCTTGATGGTGATGATGAATGTTTTTGCACTGTATTCTTCAATGTCCACAGCTACTTGTTATAAAAGTAGATGGTGTTGTAGATGGATCAACCTTCTCCAGGTTGGTATCTTCCAGACATGTCAGATTATAATTTTCAGTAATCCTGACCAGAAAAATGATAATCCTGCTGTGGTTGATGGGCAGCCATGTAATTCAATAAATCATTTTGTGATTGAAATGTGTTTTAATTANTTCCTTTCTCTGGGTCTGCATGCCATTTGCTACCTGCCTTCTAATACCTCTTTTCTTTAATGGCAGTAATTTTGGACTGATCTCTTTTTACCCTTGGCTCTGGGTCTCTGGACAATTGGTGCTGCACCTGAATTATTAAGCAAGATCTTATTTTCCCTGTGTTTCCTCTGGAGCTGGTGTGTGACTGCTCACTTCTTTGAATTGCAATCCCATTCATAAACCAGTTACAATTTGCAACTATGTGTTTGCTGAGTCGAGAACAGGCCAGTGGCTTGGAAACGCAGGGTATCTTTGGGACCAGCTGTTCTAGCGATGTCTGTTCATTCAGTAAAATCTGGAACAATGGGCTCTCATTAGCCCTTAATAAAGTGTTATCTGGAAGGATAACTCACCCATAGTAAACTAACTTCCTCCCTATTCACATTCCAGAAAGCCTGATGTTTCATTACTGCTTTGGCCCAAAGTTCACAGATAGTCCTAGACTTAAAACGGTTTAATGACCATTCAAAGTTACAACAGTACTGAAAATAATGATTTATGATGTATTCTCACACTTATGACCATTAAAACATCCCCACAGTAACATGATCAGACTTCAGGTGCTTGGCAGCTGGCATGTATTTACAATAGTTGCCGCATTCCAGGGCCCTGGAAGTGTCATTTGCAACTTTCCTAGGGAACTGCTTACAAGCAAAAATCAATTGGGGGGGGGATATCAGATTCACTTAATGACCACATGATTCACTTAATGACCATGGTAAATAAAGTCATAAATTGGGGCATGATTGGGCTCAATTGTCATTAAGTCGAGATCTACCTGTACTATAATTGTGGTTTTTTGTTTTGCTTTAGTCAACCCTTTGTTATTTTCCTGTACTGCTTTTAATCCACTTACTGGTGATGATTTTATGGGCCAGATTACAGTGGCATTGAAACCCTAGTAAGTAAATAAATTAATAAATCTTACCTAAAAAATTGTTGATACTTCTCTATGGATGCTTGAATTGATAGAGTAGTTAACTTACAAGTTGGATCTTCCAATAACTGTCTTGATAGGTTAGATTTTCAAGGACAGCTGATGCAAATGTGACTTTTTTGAGTATTTCTTACCAGAGATATTAAATATCAAAATATTAAGGGAATGAATGCAAGCAATATAATTAGAGAAATAAAATCAACAAGCAATATAATTATAGAGATAAATCAACAAGCAATATAATTAGAGAGGTATGATTACATGTTACACGATCTGCTCTAAGACTGCAAATTAATTAAAAAATTCAAACACCAAAGAGTGAAATCCAAGAGTACAGTTCCTGTATAGAGGAAACTTCTCAGAGAACCAGAAGGAACATTTCTGCCACTCTTCTATAACCCTACATGTTCTCAGGATCTACATTAGAAGTACTTTAAGTCTTTGGCAAAAACGTATAAGGGAGTCACGCAGTTAAGAAAAAGTTCATCGTGAATTCCCCATGGTGTCTTTTATACAAATTATTTTGTACAGTTGAATTCTCCAGTGAAATTTAGCTTTGTAGAAAGCGTTTGCATGCACTCAACCTTTAATAAGGAACATGAGTGACTTCTTGTAAATGTCCATGCATCCATTTATTTATTTGGAACTATTTTCAAGAAAGATGTTTAATTGTATTACATAACTTAAAGCTCCAAGAGACAGCTGTGATGGTATAAAGCAATATTTTTATAATAAATCCTATTGATACAATCAGTCTGTGATCCAAGTGTATTTCTTTTGTTTGCATGCCTCTGCACACTAAAAAGATTTGCAGTTTAAATAAAATTGCTCTTTATTATTTTTATGTAATCAGCTGCCATATGAGCAGATTCATACATCGGGTATCCTTGAATCAGCTTGACTAAGATACTGAAATGAAATATTTTCATTTCTTTTAAGCAGACTTGCATGGGTGGCATGTTGCAACAGTGATGTTTGTTTTTAAATATTGCATTAAACTGGCTTTGCAAGCCACTTAATTTTTAAACAAAGGCTAGTAGTATATTGCATGAATGTAGCCACGGGAACGTGCATTTGATAGGAAGAGGTTGGACACACTTTTTTTGCCCTGAAGTAATGTTTGCTATTCATTCCAGATCATTTTTCTAGACATTTTCCTGCTTATTTGTTTAGGTCAGGGGTTGGAAACCTTAAACCTTTGTAAGAGCTACAAAGGTCCTAACCGGAAACCCCCCATTCAATTCTGGAGCCAACCAGAAGTCTGGTCTCCCACCATAGAATCTCCTCCTAGTGCGGCATCCTTTTTCCTCTACCTGTCATAAGCGAAAGCCCTATAAATTGTGGAGCCAACTGTTGACAGGAATCCGCAGCAGAGGGATGAAACAGCCACATGTGGCTCCAGAACCGCAGGTTGCTGACCCCTGATTTAGGTGCACATAAATTGATTTAATTTATCTATAATAATGCCAGAAACAATCATGGAAAGGTAGAATGCAAGAATTGAGAGTCATCTTAAAGATCATCATCTCTTGTCCAGTTCATGAATCTACAACTGTAGATTCCATCAAACCTCTCTAAATACACCCCACAGCTTTTTATTGCATTGTTTTACAGCCCTTTTTTTTTTGCGATGTCCAACCAAGTCTCATTTCTTGCAATGTATGTTCACTGTTTCTTGTTCTGTTTTCTGAAACAAATGTACCCAATTCCTCCTCCATCTGATACTTAAAAACTGCTATCATTCTATCTAGAGACTTCTCTAGGACAGGCATAGCCAGTGTCTCAGCTGTAAGTTGACATTCAATTATCAGCTACCCTATTCCAGATGTGTGGCCTGGTTCAGGAACCCTCATTAGGAAGGGACCCAGGTAGGTGTTCCTAAGGAAACAAAACCAAATGTATACATTTTTTATTTAAATAAAAAAACAAGCCAGTCTTTATATGGAATCATTGATGTATAAAATTGTTTTTGGACTTAATTTTTGTATTTTATGTGCAAGTCAAATTCTATAGCTGAAACATCCTGCTGGAATGTTATCTGGCTGTTCCAGAATACAGGATATGCAAATGAATCCAGTGCCCATGACTGTATTCATGCCTGCTTCCTTTCAATTACAAGTGGAACCTAAGGGCTTATTCCTGACCAAAAAAAAAATAGCAGTTTAGTTTTTTCACATAGCCCTGTTATCGCAAAGCCACTCTGCATTCTTTATGTCCTGTAGTTGAAGAGAGTAACCTTATTGAGACTCTCTTCCGCATTCAAAAACGTATCTGACTGGAGAAGATTATTTTAACCCAGCACAACTGCGGGGCTGTTCTAAATAAAAAGCCAAATTTCTTTTTCCCAAGTCTTATTATATTTTCGTGCTTACGTGCCATGCAAACAGAGTTATAAACAACATAAAGAAAATTTAATAGATATGCATGAAGGCAGTGGTGAAATGTAAAAGATTTTGCCACCGGTTCTCTGGGTGTGGCTTGGTGGTGGGGTCATGTGACTGGGTGGGTGTGGCCAACTTTTTTTTAATTTTTAAAGCATTTTTACTACCTATTCGCCTGAACTGATAGTAAAAAATGCTCTAAGAAGTGAAAAAAAGGTTCAGCTGTGCTGTGTGATTGTGGGAATTTTTCCCCCACTTTTTAAAGTATTTTTTTTACTGCTGGTTGGGACAAATAGATAGTAAACAATCATTTAAAAAGTAAAAAAAAAGGTTCCCATGATTGCATGGCACAGCTGATTGTCATGGACTTTTTAAGGCATTTTTTTTCCTGCAGGTTCAGATGAATAGGCAAGAAAAAAATGCTTTAAAAAGCAGGAAAAAAGCTTCCAATGATTGCACAGCTCACAGCTGAGCTGCACAATCCTCCAAAGCTTTTTTTTTTTTTTTTACTACTGGTTCGCAGAAACAACAGCAATTGTCCCTACCGGTGCTAACCGGTAACATTTCACCCCTGCATGAAGGTCAAGGAGAAAAGGTAAGTATTGACAAGGTTCAGCTTAAGGAAAAGCTTTGATTTTTCCAAGCAAAATGGGGAACGATTGTTGGTTTGCTTGATATTGGAGAAATAGAAAATTCACATAAAAGAGAAGCAGAACTAACTTATTAGGAAAATCACTGGTACTTCAGGTAGTTGAAAGTGCTTACTGATTCAAACTTCTTGCTTAACTGGGGTTGGCTTAACCATTTTAGTTGAATAAATGACTGCCAGGATCTTATTCACGCTACGCTATCATGTTGTTTGAATTTTGGCTAAGTTTATAATATAGACCAATACTACCTAGTTAGCATAAAAGAATCTGATACCCATAAGCAAGAGCTTTTAAACAATTTGAGTTAACTTCAGGGACTAAATCTCTGGAAATGATTTCTACCACGACTGCAATTAGCAGTATGAATGGTTAGGCTGAATCCTCTGGAAGCAAAGGTTCATTCCAGTTAAAAAAAAGTACAGTGTAAAAATTCTTCACAATGGAAGAAAGTTATAAGAGATTATACATAAGATTATCCATTACAAGCAGAGTATAATTAGAAGAAGTAGGACAGTGTACAGGAGAGGTAATTAAAATATGAGAACACAAACTTTAAAAGTTGCTGATGGAGACATCTTTTAAAGGTTGGGCAAGTTCAGAAGCCCAAAACAGAAGCACTGATGATTTTGATGTACAGAAGTTAATAGGGCATAGCCTGCGCTGAAACGCTTAGAACGTCATGCTTGCTTAAAAGTAGGCTATTTTTATCTCCTGCATTCCTAAATCTTGGAAAGCTTTGGGGTATTAAGGATATGTATTTAATATGAACGGATAGCAAGGTCAACATGCACGTATGATGGGCTGGTGGGCAATTGCACACTGGCCTGCCACTTTCCGCAAGGGCTGCATGCACACACACATGTGCGTCAGCCCGCCACTCCCACAGTCCACCCCCTCTTTCCCCCCCACCCAGCTGCAAAGGTTGGGGACTGCTGGTGTAAGCTACCTAGAGCACTGATGGCAAACCTTTTTTGGCTCGCATGGCATAAGGGAGAGCGCTGGGGGTCATGTGCAGGTGTGCCTTACCCATAATGCAACGTGCAACCCCCCCAGTGTACATGTGCGCATGAGAGGCACTCCTCCACATTTTTCCATGCTTTTTTCGCCCTTCCCAGGCTCCAGAGGCTTTATAGGAGCCTGGGGAGGGCAAAAACAGCCTCCCCTGCTCCCCAGAGGCCCTCCAGAGGCTTCAGGAAGGGCAAAAAATGAGCCTACGAGCAAATCGGAAGTCACTTCCGGTTTGCTCGTAGGGTCGGTTTAAGCCCTCTGGAGGCTTCAGAGACCTTCAGGAGGCTTCCCTGAAGCCTCCAGAAGACTAAAAAGGACCCTCTGAGGAAACCAGAAGTCACTTCTAGTTTGCTCGGAGGGTGGTTTTTAGTGCTCCAGAGGCTTCAGGGAAGCCTCTTGAAGGTCCCTGAAGCCTCCGGAGGGCCTCGGGAGGGGGAGGCTCTTTTTGCCCTCCCCAGGCTCCTATAAAGCCTCTGGAGCCTGGAAAGGGCGAAAAATGTCTTTAAAAAAGGCTGAACTCAGCTGGCCAGTGCGCGCATGCATTCTGGCCAGTTGACAGGGCAACGCCTTGCATGCCCTGACAAATGGCTCTGCGTTCCACCTGTGGCATGCGTGCTACAGGTTCGCCATCCCAGACCTAGAGTCACTTTGTGTGAGTTGGAAAACCATATAGATGTGTTTAATAAATTTGATATTTGAAATAAATTTGAAATTTGTTGATATATGTATATCGATCTTTCAAACCTTAATATAGAACTTCTCCCTTCCCAACATGTTAGATGGCATTGGAGAACGTATTGGTAATAGAATATCAATGGGCAAGAGGATGTTAAATTACTTATTTTTTTTCTCCGATTTCTCTCTATTTCAATTAATACCCATCATACAATCAGCAAAATCAGCATTCATTTGTGCCACATGAACTGTTCATTCTGTTTATTTTAGATAATTGAGTGGATACAACAGATGTCATCTGAGTTGGCCGCTCTAAGTGTTCTTTGTACTGATTTATTTACAAGTCTAAGTCAGCCCATATGGACAAACTCAAAAAAGATTCTTAGTTTCTAACATGTAATGGGATTTGTTTCATTGTGCCTTGGCTGAAGCCTTCTTTCAATTAGAATTTGTATATAGAACCAGCTTGCACATCTAGGGAGAAGGATCATTTTAATACTTTAAACTTCCTCATAAGCCTCAAAGAAATACATGGAAATTGTTCAAAAAATTGTTCTTCAAGTTAGCATAGTGATGGAAATGCTGAAGCTGGCAGTTGTGACAAGGCTTGGAGGTGCTCAGCATGTCTTTTGGGGTGGCAGAGGTGGCAGCTGTGCATAATGCTGCTCTTCCCCTGCCCCCAAATGTTACATGCAGCCACCTACCACCCCAAATTCTACATTCCTTATGTCAAGTAATGAACCAGCCTCAATTTGTTTTAATTAGTATTTGCAAAATGGAGCCCATTCCTAGCTGTTAGACTACAATTCACATTATTCTTCGTGGTCCTGGCTACTGGTTAGTTGTGGTCCAGTAATCAGGTGTTGTTTAGTCACTAAATTGTGTCCAACTCTTCACAACTCCATGGACTCTAGCATGCCAAGGCCACCTGTTCTCCACAGTTTCCCAGAATTTGCCCAAATTCAAGTTCGCATATATCGGTTGAGGCTGCTATAAATGGTATTAGTTGTATTGGTAAGCCCCAATATTTCACAGACATACATTCTGAAATGTATTTTAATTGCATTCTTAATGATTTTGCTGTAGCCTAGACTTAACTGAGTTGGTAAGAAATTACTTCTGACTAGAGAATCTTGGGAGTTGCATTCCCAACATTTTGGGAGTGCCTCGAATGAGAGAAGGGGGATCTGATGTTTCAATATTTGATTTCAAGAATAAACACTGGTGATTATTAGTGAAAGATGTTCTTGGCTTGCAGTTCTCCCAATGATGAAAAAATATATATTTTCTTTTTTCTGTCTATATTTCATTGTGCATATAGAGCAGGGGTGTCAAACTCATGGCGTCATGTTGGTGTCACATGATATATTGTGACTTTTATCCCCTTCTCTAAACCGGGGGTGGACATGGCCAGTGTGTGATGCATCCAGCACGCAGACTACGAGTTTGACAGCTCTGATATTGGTCTATAAGTATAGAACAATGAAACTAGAAATCCACATGTCTGTATGCAAGATAGTTACACCACACGATTTAACAATTATTGTATAATGCTTGCTTTGTTTTATATCTCCCTGCAGGAATTGTTTCGCTTATGACTCTCACTGTCTTGGCCTATGAGCGGTACATTAGAGTAGTGCATGCAAGAGTGATTGATTTCTCGTGGTCTTGGAGGGCAATCACATATATCTGGCTTTATTCCTTAGCCTGGACAGGAGCACCTCTTCTTGGCTGGAACCACTACACCTTGGAACTTCATGGATTAGGTTGTTCAGTGGACTGGAGTTCAAGAGAACCCAGTGATACTTCCTTTGTCCTCTTTTTCTTTTTTGGTTGTCTAGTGATACCACTTGGAATCGTGGTCTACTGCTATGGGCATATTCTTCACGCAGTACGAATGGTGAGTTGGATAAACTAATAGCTTGCCCCTAGACTTTTTCAGTAAGCAAATCCAATGTGCATGGCTAAACACTGATTAGAACATGAAAAACTGCTTCTTATTGTGAGTGCCTATTATTACTTATACAGTATACATGTTTTCATAATTTGCTTTAGTTTTTCTAACAATGTGCAACCTCATATATTTTGCCTGATATTAAAAGTGATAGCTGAATTTGATCTCTATATATTTTTATTATATATTGGGGAGGTGGCATGGAGGTTCTGTTAAGTGGCTGTCTTAAAAAGAAATGGAACAAATAATTGAGAAAATACTAATACTTTATTAATCTTGTGTGCTTCTGACTCTCAATCACTCTGAGAATCAAGGACTAGAGTAGTGATCCTAATATGGCATTCCCTAAAATATTGCTGAGCTGTGGTGATACAGTGGTTAAAATGCAGTATTGCAGACTAACTCTGCCCACTGCCAGGAGTTCAACCCTGACCCGCTCAAGGGTGACTCAGCTTTCCATCTTTCTGAGGTCAG